TTAGTTCTACATATTTCATGGGTTTCTGTTTAGGGTGAATATTTGATGGATTTAATGGAGTCGTATTTTTGTGACGGGCTGCATTAATAATAAATATTCAGAAAGTGACTTTTGTGTAAGATCTGTAAAATCAATCTCCATTCTCATATGCTTTTCCATAATTAGGGAAGGAACCTATATTCTTCAACGATTCGGGTACAGTATATATTCCGTGGCTATATAAACAACGATTAGGATACAGTATATATTCCGTGGCTATATTAACGATTAGGGTACAGTATATATTCCGTGGCTATATTAACAACGATTAGGGTACAGTATATATTCCGTGGCTATATTAACAACGATTTGGGTACAGTATATATTCTGTGGCTATATTAACAACGATTAGGGTACAGTATATATTCCGTGGCTATATTAACGATTAGGGTACAGTATATATTCCGTGGCTATATTAACAACGATTAGGATACAGTATATATTCCGTGGCTATATAAACAACGATTAGGGTACAGTATCTATTCTGTGGCTATATTAACGATTAGGGTACAGTATCTATTCTGTGGCTATATTAACAACGATTAGGGTACAGTATCTATTCTGTGGCTATATTAACAATGATTAGGGTACAGTATATATTCCGCGGCTATATTAACAGACTACCAATGCACATTTTGGGAATTTTTCTATGGTGGAAAATCCAACTTTGGGTGTTATGTGTCCACACTGTACCTAACTCTGTAGTCCATGAGCCATAGTCAAATTCTCACAGTAAACATGTAGAACAGTACTGTGACAGATCCCTCTGTCTTAGACTTAAATAACCGTATGGCTTGTTCGTTTATTTAATTTGTTTTTTCTCATTCCTGTGGACTCTATGGCATTCCCCTGTTTATAACCGAACAAAACTACCGAACGGCCGGCCACCCAGTAGAGGAGTGTGCTGCTGATTAACCTCTTGGCCCCATTGGAACGTTGAGGATTAACCGCAGACACCTCGTAATTGATACAGCAGTTGGGTGGCCGCCATTTGAAGGCCGAACACGAGATCGCGGCCATTTTAAAACACACGAATGCACAGCGGTGTTCGACACCTAACTCATGGAACTAAAAACGGACACATTTTGGCACGAACACCGCTGAAGCCGCCGACCTCCCTTCTTGTTCGGTAGATTGGTACGAATGACTCTATATTCGGTGGATTTAACAGAATACATCGTACCCCAGATAGGAATCCCGTGGAGCCCATTCGTATGAAACTGACTGTGTGAACACTTTGGCTCCACGGCGATTGGACTGTGTGTATAGGATCTGAGCGCTATTCGGTACTTTGGTGCGCTCAGATCCCAGCTATCTGGGGACCTGTGGAATGCCTATAAAAGCGTGTAAAATGCAACAGTTATGTATTTTTATGTACTTGTGTTATTAGTCCTCAAAATGGCGTTTAGGCTCTGTCCTGGGAGATAATTTAATTACTTCACAATTATCTTCCCGGGCAGAGCAGGGGGTTCTGGGCAAGAAAAGAGGAATGGCTTATTGTGTCTTCTGTGATTGGCTAATGCATTGTCCTTGTCACAGTCCCCCATTCGGTCCCCGAGGGGAGTGTCCACCGGGTGAGGGACTTGCATAAAAGCAGGGCATGTAGCCCTCATTAAACAAATTCCTGCTGACCCTCAGTACAGAGCTGTGTCTCGTCTTTAGGGGGAATATTCGTATGGCGTAAGCGTGTTCGGCTGTTTGGGAGAATATTTGATTCGTATGGTGGCTGTTCGGCTATTTGGCTATATTGTATTCGTATACCTGCTGTTCGGTTACTGGGGAACTGCTTCATCCGTACGGCTACCGTTCAGTGCTTTGTAACCCTCAGTGGCTGCCTCCGCATTTGGTAAGGGAACGTCTCATACAGCTGTAACCCCTCACATACCGGGGGAATCGTAACAAGTACCACAACTACCCACTCCACAGCCAAACCCTCACAGTGCACTGACCCTGCAGCAAAACCCGCACAGTGCGCGGACCCTGCAGCCAAACCTGCACAGTGAGCGGACCCTGCAGCCAAACCCATGCAGTGAGCGGACGCTGCAGCCAAACCCGCACAGTGAGCGGACCCTGCAGCCAAACCCACAGAGTGAGCAGACCCTGCAGCCAAACCCGCACAGTGAGCGGTCCCTGCAGCCAAACCCGCACAGTGAGCGGACCCTGCAGCCAAACCCACAGAGTGAGCAGACCCTGCAGCCAAACCCGCACAGTGAGCGGTCCCTGCAGCCAAACCCGCACAGTGAGCGGTCCCTGCAGCCAAACCCTCACAGTGAGCGGACCCTGCAGCCAAACCCGCACAGTGAGCGGACCCTGCAGCCAAACCCGCACAGTGAGCGGATCCTGCAGCCAAACCCGTATAGTGAGCGGAACCTGCAGCCAAACCCACACAGTGAGCGGACCCTGCAGCCAAACCCATGCAGTGAGCGGACCCTGCAGCCAAATTTCGCACAGTGAGCGGTCCCTGCAGCAAAACCCACACAGTGAGTGGTCCCTGCAGCCAAACCCGTACAGTGAGCGGGCCCTGCAGCCAAACCCTCACAATGAGCGGGCCCTGCAGCCACACCCTCACAGTGAGCAGATTTTGCAGCCAAACCCTCAAAGTGAGCAGACTCTGCAGGAAATGACTACTATACAGAATCAGTTGAATCATTTACTTTCTATGTAAAATCTTAATGCTTTAAATAATAGATTGGAAAAGTAGATTGAACAATACACATTGAAGATTGAGCAAAGGAAAAGGTCTACATTCATGAGAGATGCTGATTATTATGCTAATAACAGAGTATATAAATAGACAAATGAGACACGTGTGGAGAAAATTCGTAGGCGACCTGTGGTCTAGCGACCACAACATAGTGAATATACAGCTGGGAGTTCTTCAGCCTCGGGCACTACTGACTGTGACACATCAGATGGCGGAACACCAAGGAAGAAGAGTACGAGATGCAGTAAACGACTGTCAGTCAACCAGATCGAGAGCCAGACTGAACCCAGTTCGAGAGAAAAAAAAACATATCACCCCCGGATGTACAATCCCAGCAGAAGGACTTGATTGTAGTTAATATCTCTGACATCACATTGGGAGAAAGCAAACTTAAGGTATTATCAAAGGGACTTTCATTTTGCCCTACTGCTAACTTTAACTCATCTAATTTATTCTTATGTGTGGAACGATTCTTACGATCTGTTAATTTAAAAGTTTTTTTCTCTAATAAACTAACTTGTAAAGGTATGTCTAATAAATGATAATCTGGCCCAGACTTCAGAAACCTTGGCAGCTAAAGATTTTCACTTGTGGCACCTGAGGTTGAGGTCTTTTCCAGACTTATGCGTAGAGAATTGGAAAATTTGCATTCTTCTGCCCATGGCCAGCACAGCCCCAACCTTACAAAAGATGAATACCAGGCTTTGCAATCTTTAAAGAATAACCGAGTGACGGACCGCCTGGAACCCCGACCGGGTACCTCCGTCAATCACTGCTTCCTAGTACTTGCAAGCACCATAAGCACTGTACTGGAACACCATAACCACTGTAAACCACACAAACTACCGCAGCTTGGTTGGGGTCTTGCCGTCCTCCACCCACCCTGGACCCAAGACCAGGATCCAGCTTCCAGGGCGTAGACCACTCCTAGTCCAGAGAGCGTAGCAGGAATAGCTCTTATAAGAGCTAGTGATTATAGTCAGGGGAGTATTGTGATATAGCAATCCCCAGAGTGTATGTAGTTCTCCAATCCCGCAAACATGAGCCAAGACTTCATGAAGGGGTAAACGAATCTTAGTTTAATGGGAGCCACACTTGGCCTTATATGACAATCCCCATGCAAGGGGTACGCCCACATGGACCTGATGGTAGACTGATTTGCAACTTCACAGACCAATAACAATAAGGTTACAAGAATCGACAGTCCCACACAAACACTACATCCCCTCATCCAGATGAATAATCTCACCGAACAGTGCCCTTCGAAGTTGAATAGAATCAAATGCAGGCGATGATGGAAGTCCAGCGGTGTTCGGGAGTTCCTGTATCTGATTTTAGTTCCATGAGATTCATGCCCAAACACCGCTGCCTGCATTCATGCGAACAAGATGGCCTCCACCCAGGGCCGGACTGGGGATACAAAGCAGCCCTGGAAAAAAAATTTGTGCCAGCCCCATAAGTCACTGCGCCATATATTGTCGCGTGCAATATGTAAGGCTATGTCTTGCCAGGACAGATGATTGAGTAATATATATATATATATATATATATATATATATATATTGCTTTTTCTAATATAAAATATTGCTCCTTTCAGGGTAAAACGTTTAATTATACAGTAAGCATACGCACATGCAGACACAGGCAATTTCACTGACATTTCAGTGACACACACAAGCTCATTGATACACACACACACAGCTTAATGTGGTGGTACTGGTGTCTATAGCATGTCCCTACAGGCTTTTCAACGTAACACTGACTTTTCAGACAAAAGGCAGTGTTTACATTGCTTCAAAGTGACACTGCTAGTGACAGTCACTCAGACGGTCACTAGAGGTGCTTCCTGTGTTAGTGCCCTCCCGCCCTCGCGCGCTGCTGAATGAGACTGGCGCCGGAATATGACGTCATATTCCGGCGCCGGTCTCATTCAGCTACGTGCTGGGGAGCAGAGCCAGCGCAGCTCCCTCAGCGGCCGCCAGGACAAGTCCGCCAGCGGCCGCCAAAAGACCTCCCCAGCGGCCAGGGGAGGGCTGGCAGCCTTAGGCCTGGGGGGCAAAACCAGTCAAGTAGACTGGGGCACCTGCCCAGGATCAGAGCCGGTGCAAGGATTTTTGCTGCCCTAGACAAAATAAAAATTTGCTGCCCCCACATGTCACATCACAATGCCCCACCCATATGACCTGCCATATGAACTAACGCCAGTGCTGCACACAGTGTGTGTTTACATTAAAAAGCCTGCAGGGACCAGCTATAGACACCAGAACCACTTCATTAAGCTATAGTGTCCCTTTAATGTGAGATACATTATAGATTAGTGTCACTAATAATATACTAGATTGCCTACTTGCCCCCCAGGCCTAAGGCTGCCAGCCCTCCCCTGGCCGCTGGGGAGGTCTTTTGGCGGCCGCTGGCGGACTTGTCCTGGCGGCCGCTGAGGGAGCTGCGCGAGCTGCGCTGGCTCTGCTCCCCAGCACGCAGCTGAATGAGACCGGCGCCGGAATATGACGTCATATTCCGGCGCCAGTCTCATTCAGCAGGGCGGGAGGGCACTAACACAGGAAGCACCTCTAGTGACCGTCTGAGTGACTGTCACTAGCAGTGTCACTTTGAAGCAATGTAAACACTGCCTTTTGAGGATGAGGCAGATGAGGATGATGATGGGCTGCAGTTTGGCTCCACTGGTCTGGTGTAGAACAGGATCTCTGGAGGCTGTTTGCAACTGTGGTCACAAAATTCAATGTTCTGGGAGAATTGGAAGCAGCTCAATTTTTTTGGGGCCCCTTACACAGCTCAAGGTCTGGGCCCCAGGGCCTGACGGTGAGTATGCCCATAAGGCCCACTCATAAGTTCCACCTACCCATGAGTTCGCTCACAGGGAGTGGAGTGTGTAGGGGATGTGTTATGTGTTATTGTAGAGGATCTAATATGTGTGCTTATGGTATGTAGTGTATAGGGTTACCAGTTTGTGCAGGTGATGTAGTGTGTTTGTGTGTAGTGGAAGCAGTGTGTATTTGTGTATAAGGGATGTATTATGTGTTTCTGGTTGTGTGTAAGGGATGCATTGTGTGAATCTGTGTTTGT